GGTGGGAGGTCGTCAGGATAAGAGGGGCTTTGGTTAGTGATCTGAAAAGAAAAAAAAAAAAAAATGCCTTTGCATTCATTCTAACTCAGGGCTACCCCACATTTGTAGTATAGAACTGCTCCAGAGTTCAAAAGTCTTTTGGAAGCAGATCACCAAGTCTTTCTTCTGAGATCCCTTTGGGTGGTTTCAAACTGCCAATATTTCAATGAGTAGTTGAGCACCTAGCTGATTCTACCACCCAGGGATAGTGTTGTGTTAAATGCCTTTGAGTTGGTTCCTACTCATAGCAACCCTGTATAGTGTTTCCAAGGAGCAGCTGGTGAGTTTGAACTGCTGACCTTGAAGTTCAAACCAACCTTGTGGTCCAGTACTTATCCTATAGGCCACACCAAGACTCCACACTCAGGGATATTACTTATTAATTAAATGTTTAGCATGTGTCAGTAACTGTGCTGTTGTTAATATTAGATGCCATCAAGTCAGTTCCAACTTCACAGAGACTCTGTGTACAATAGGATGAAATGCTGCCCAGTCCTGTGCTAGCCTCACAATTATCTTTGAGCCCATTGTTGCTGCCACCATGTCAGTTCATCTTGTTGGGAGTCTTCCACTTTTTTGATGACCATACACTTTACCAAGTATGATGTCCTCCAGGGACTTTCCCCCAAGACAACATGTGCAAAGTACAAGAGATGGAAGTCTTACCAGCCTTGCTTCTAAGAGTATTCTGGCTGAACTTTTTCCAAGACAAACTTGTTCATGCTTCTTGCTGTCTATGATACTTTAAATATTCTTCACCAACACCATAATTCAAATGCATCTGTTCTTCAACAGTCTTTCGTATCACTCTTTGCTCTTGAATACTTTAAAGAGGTCTTTAGCAGTAGATTTGCCTATTGTGGTATGTTGTTTGATTTCTTTACTGCTGTTTCTGTGAACATTGATTATGGATCCAAGCAAAATGAAGTCTGACAACTTCAACCTTTTCTCCATTTATTATTATGTTGTTATTTGTTGGTTTACTTGTGAGGATTTTCATTTTCATTGGTGCAATTCACACTGAAGACTATAGTCTTGGATCTTCATCAGTAAGTATTCATCACTAATACCATCATCATTGGCATTAGTGGTTGGTGCCTAAATTTGAATACTAGTGGTATTAACAGGTCTTCTTATAGGTATAAGGATATTATCCTATCACAGACAGCATTGTACTTTAAGATAGATCTTAAAATGCTCTTTTTTAAAAAATATTTTTATTGTGAATTGAATGAAGATTTACAGAATAGATCATCAGTTCTACGTTCAAAAATATCATATACTTTGCTTCATCACAATGATCACAATCCCCCATAAGTTATTATTCTTCATGGTGTTTCACGTAACTCTTAGGCTTTCTTCAGATTTTTTTCATTCTTTTTTTCAATTGTTGTTCTAGCATACTAGCATTGAGAGATTTATCTTCAAGTTCACTAATTTTGGCATCCATTGCTTTGAATCTATTCTTTTGCCCTTTCGATATATTGACCATGTCTGAAATTTTACTATTAATCTTTTAGATCTCTAATTGTACATTTTTTATTGTTTTGAATTTTCCATGCACTTTGTTCATGTAGTGCTTTCCTGAATTCTTCTAAAGTTTTTTTCCGTGTTCTCCCTGCCTTTATTTAATCTTTCTGTCAGTCTTTTGAAGGTGTCTAAATATTCTTTTGAATTATTTTTCAGTTACTTCCATTACTTTTGCTTCCTCAGAAACATTTTCTGGTTTCGCATATTGGTCATTTGTTTGAGCCATTCTCTTTCACCGCTTCTTGTGAGCTCAAATTGTTCCCAGATCATTGTGGGGTCGTTGTATATGTATTTAATTGATGGTTATATGGTGATGTGTTTTTAGGTTCTCACCAGTTGTCTACTGTGGGTGTAGTTAGAGAATGGAGGCGTGTATACCATTCTCATTTGCCATTTGTGCATCTCAGTTTAGGCTGGGTTTGGTTGGTGCTGGCTGCTGTCTGTTGTTGATCAGGTCATATAGGAACTGGTGGTATTGGCTCCTTCCCAAGTGGGTGGAGCTGCAAAGGGTATAGTTGTGACTAGGCTGTATGGACCCGTTCTCATGTTAGGTGGGAAAGAGGAGAAACTTCCACACACTCCAGCCTCACACACAAAAGGAAGCAAAACAGAAAGAAACAAGCAAGAAATATACAATGAGAAGAGAAAATAATAAAGAAGAAAAAAGAATTAAAGAAAGGCAAGGATCAAAAAAATATATATATGAATTAAAAATTAAAAAGTATGGGAAAATAAAAGTATAAAAAGAAAAATAAGAGAAAATAAAAAGAAGAAATGAAAAAAACACAGGGAGAGGGAAGATTAAAAAGAGAGTAGAGAGTAGTAAAGAAAGATCAAAAGAAGAGGGAAAATGAGAAACAGAAGAAGGAAAAGCAAAAGCAGAGATGTTGTTAAGTGCCATCAAGTTGGTTCCCACCCATAGTGACCCTGTATAGGGTTTCCAAGGAGCAGCTGGTGAGCTTGAACCACCAACCTTGCAGCTCAAACAGCTTTGCAGTCTGGTGCATTCATCCACAGCTCCACACCAGAACTCCAAAAGTAGAGATGTTGTGCCGTCGAGTCGGTTCCCACCCATAGCGACCCTGTACAGGGGTTTCCGAGGGTGTAAATCTTTATGGGAGTAGAAAGCCTCATCTTTCTCCCGTGGAGCAGCTGGTAGTTTCGAACCGCTGACTTTAAGGTTCACAGCCCGATTCGTAACCACTACGCTACCAGAGCTCCAAAAGTAGAGATAGAAAGGGTAAAATTCAAGGAATGGAAAAAGAAGAAAGGATGATCAAACAAAAACAACAAAACAATGAAAGGAAAAAGCAAAAACAAAGGTCCGAGGCAATTATTGGACCCAGAGAGAGAGAACTTTGGGAGGCTCCTGCAAGACAATCAGCTCATGAGATGGATGCAGGATTGATGTGACAGCAGAGTTGTATAAGGCTGTTGTTGTTAAATGCCTTCAAGTCATTTCCAACTCATAGCGAACCCTGTACAGGGTTTTCGCATAACAGCTGATGGGTCTGAACCACCGAACTTGTGGTTTGCAGTCCAGTGTGCTTAACCCTATAGTGCCACACCAGCAGACCACTATATACCCCTAGGTGTTACCTATTTTCAGAGCATTCAATCCAGAAGTAGTTTGTGGAGCTCTGGGATGGAGCTGGTTTCAGTGTCTGTTAGGACTACAAGTTTGGGTGGCTGGTTATGATGGTTTCTGCTAGACTACTGCTGGACTGCTGGCTCTGTTGATTCTGTAGGTCTGGAGCCAAGCTCATCTGAATCCAGGAATCCGAGCAGCACTGGCATGGCTTCCAACCATGGAGCTCCAAACTCTCAGAAAACGGCCTGTGCTGGGGGTAGATGAGGATCGTAGTTGGCCACACCTCTGGTCATCATGGAAGCATGGGGGTAAAGAAGGAATCACCTTTGTGTCATCTGTGTGAATCTGCTCTGCCAGGCCACTTTCTGTTGCCAAAGATGCTTACAAAAGTTCAAGATGGTCGAGCTAGAGTCTGCCCATTCACCAGTCAGTCTCCCTCTCTCACCATCCCTGCTCAGCTTCTCCCAACAAGCACTCAATCCACTTCTCTGATCTTTGCTCTGAAGTTCGGTTCCTGGATTTCCCATCTATGTCTGCTCCATTTGGTTTCTCATATCTTTGTTGTAGAGGGTCTGTGTAGTGTGTCTGCCTAGTCAGCCATTTTGCTGGAAGTTCAATTGTGTGATTTTAAAGGACAGTTCCAGAGGCTGGTTTCGGGTGTCAGCTCTAGGGGAAGGTTTCTTCTCTGTTCTTGTCTCACCTTCCTTGGCAATCTCCATGTGGCATCTATTTTTGTCCCACTAGTATCCTGGTATTAATGTGCCGGACTGCAAAGCCGTTTGAACTGCAAGGTCAGCAGTTCAAGCTCACAAGCTGCTCCTTGGAAACCCTATACAGGGTCACTATGGGTTGGAACCAACTTGACAGCACTTCACAACAACAAGTGCCCTGGTGTGGCATTGTGGGCTAATGCGTCAGACTGCAAAGTCGTTTGGACTGCAACGTCACTGGTTCAAGCTCACCAGCTGCTCCTCGGAAACCCTATACAGGGTCACTATGGGTCAGAATCGACTCGACAGCACTTAACAACAACAACTGCTAGTTGCAGGTTTCAATGATTAATGGATATTTGCAGTTGTTTGTTCTCGTTTTGAGTTGTAGGTTGAAGGTCCGGAGCTTTGCTCCATCTTAAGTTATTAAGGTCAACTAGGCTGCTCTTCTTCCCCAGATGTATTTTGAGTGCCTTCCAACCTGAGGTGCTCATCTTCCGGCACTTTATGTGACAATGTTCTGCTGCTATTTATAAGGCCTTCTGTGGCTAACCATTCAGAAGTGGTCCACCTCTCCTTTGTCCTAGTCTGTCTTAATCTAGAAAGTGTGCTGAAACCTGTCCACCTTGGGTGAAACTACTGGTGACATAGCTTCCAGTATCACAGCCACACACAAGCTACCATAGATGAGCGGTGGAGTGGCTCTGCTATGAATTTTATATATATATAAAAGGAGCTCTGGTAGCGTAGTGATTATGAATCGGGCTGCGAGCCACAAGGTCAGCAGTTTGAAACTACCAGCTGTTCCGCTGGAGAAAGATGAGGCTTTCTGCTCCCATAAAGATTTACAGCCTCGGAAACCCTGTACAGGATCGCTATGAGTCGGAACCGACTCCACGGCACATAACAACAATATATATATATAGTCACTACGTATACTTGTCATATACATACATATATATATATGCATTCTCTCATTTATTCTTCATAATATTGTGAGAAATAAGGAAACTCTTCATAGAGGGTATATAGCCCACTTAAGTGCCACTATGTGGTGAAGTTAGGATTCAAACCCGTGTTTGTGTAACTCCATAGCTCATGGTCTTAGCCCCTCTTCCTCTTCATGAAAGTACAATTATTATTACAGCTACAAACCATTGATGAAGCAGAGATCCGAGGAAGATCTCAAGGATAAGAACCAGCTCTTAGAGGCAGTCAACAAGCAGTTGCACCTGAAGCTGACTAAAACTCAGGTAAGCGGTATACCAAATATCTGCCATCACTACCACAGGGCAGTGCATGGGTAATCAGTCCCTAAGGGATGACTGCTGGGTAGGAGCAGACATAGAGGACACCTGGCTTGTGCTGTGGCTGTCCAAGAGCATGAGCAACAAGATCACCCCTGTGAAAGCCTGATCTGACTGTGTGGCACCCCAACAGGGAGAACTGAAGGACCTGACTCAGAAAGTGGAACTGCTAGAGAAGTTTCAGGACAATTGTTTGGCAATTTTGGAGAGCAAGGGCATCAACCCAGGTGAGAAACAAAGGAACTGTGCTATACACACCTTCCTGAGTTGGCTCCAGACTGTTGACTGTCCAGCTTCTAGCATGTCAGCTGTTTCAGTGTGGGCAAGGGTTGTGCAACAAAATCCTAAGGGTTTTGTAAGCATCTTCCTCATGTGGTATTGATTTTCTCTCATAGAACTCTAGCAGGTTGTCAAGGGAAAGTCTTTTCTCGTCCTTATCGGAACACTGTATGCCATTCATGTGATGCAAGTAGACCTGGAAGACATTTCGTATCTTTCAAGGGAGAACACATTGGTAATTTGCCCAAGGGAGACATATTACTACTCCAAGGGTTTCTAAACTTGACTGATCCATCAAAATTATGGCTTAAATGTGACTGTTGCAATAAGAGCAGCAGAAGCAATTGCTCTGAAGCCTTAGTGGGGGCTTGAACTGAGTTGAGGAAGGACACTGGGAAGGCCCAGGGAATGGTCCCAGGCCTCTTTACATATGTGGGTTGCATTTGTTGTTGTTGTTAAGTCTCTTTACATAAAGAAATATTGTCTCAGAATGGTACTAGTTAACATGTGGGTTTCATTTGTTGTTGTTTTTAAATGCCATTGAGTCGATTCTGACCCATAGCAACCGTGTATAGGGATTCTGAGGAGCGCTGGTGAGCTTGAACCACCGACTTTGCGGTTCAAACCAATTTTGCAGTCTAGCGTGTTAATCCAAAGCGCCACACCAGGACTCTGGGTTGCATATATATTTTTTGTAGTCACCATGTATACTTTTCAAGCCTCAAATTTCAGTTTTGAAGGTTTGATTTTATGGGCAAAATATTCAACAACATAGAAAGCCTCGAAAGAAGATGGAAGGAATGAAGAATCAGTATACTGTTTTTGGTCAAATTTCAACTACTTCAAAGGTAGCATATGATCAAGTAGCGTAGTGGTTATGAATTGGGCTGCTAACCTCAAGGTCGGCAGTTCGAAACTACCAGCTGTTCCATGGGAGAAAGATGAGGCTTTCTGCTCCCGTAAAGATTTACAGCCTCAGAAACCCTGTGCAGGGTCGCTATGAGTCGGAACAGACTCCATGGTACTTAACAACAACATATGATCAAGAACCAATGGTATCAAAGGAAGAAGTCCAAACTACACTGAAGGTAATGGCAAAAAGCAAGGCTACAGGATTTGGTGGAACACCAAGTGAAATATTTCAACGGCTGATGCAGTGCTAGAAGCACTCACTAGTCTATGCCAAGAAATTTGGAAGACAACTAACTAGCTGGCCAACCTACTGGGACAGATCCGTATTTGTGCTCATTTCAAAGAAAGGTGATCTATCAGAATGTGGAAGACCCTCAATGAAATGGATTGACGTAGTGGCTACAACAGTACTCTCAAACATAGCAACGAGCGTGAGGCTGATGCAGGACCAGGCAGTGTTCTGTTCTGTTCTACATAGGGTTGCTGTGAATAAGAACTGACTCGATAGCACTTAACAACAACTACATAAACACTTTTGTATAATAGTATAATTTTAGTTTACCATATGCATGTATTAATTCTACCTAATAATACTTTTGTTTAAGACCTGCAAGGCTTTGTATATTGTTGTTGTTAAGTGCCAGAGAGTCAGTTCTGACTCACAGCAACCCTGTATAGGGTTTCTGAGGAGCAGCTAAATGGTTGGTGAGTTTTAACCACATACCTTATTGTTCAAACCAACCTTGTGGTTCCATGCTTATCCTACAGCGCCACACCAGGACTCCATTTGTATATTGTAAACAAAACAGACAAATTCAGCCTATATATTTCCTTTGGGGAAAATGCAGCCTATTTCCAGTAAGGCAAGGAGAAAGCAGAATGAATTTTTGGCTGTATTCATACCTAGAGAGTCGGACACTTTGTAGGGCAAACATGGATGACCCTGTCAAGAGTGTCAGGTACCAGATGCTCAGAAGTTCCTGTCATGAATATTCCTATACTTGTTTTTGCTTTGTTAAGGGTACAGTTCCCTATGCGAGGCTGATTTTGTTCTGTCTATCAGTTCTAGGAAGTGAGACCCTAGCATCACAGCAAGACTCCACTACAGATCACACGGACTCTATGGTGAGGGCATGGGTATGGATGAGTGAGGATCAAATGATGGTGGAATCCTGTAAATGTGAGGAAGTCTCTGCTATGTGCTCAGTATGTCCCAAGGATTGGTCTTTGGTTATCCATGAGAGAGGAAGAGAGTCGAAGGATGTATCCTCTCAAAATAGGAAGTTGGCTTTGTGCTTATAAATTTATGTGAGTCTGAGTTGAAAATGTACTGCCACTTGAAAGCAAAAACAAATAAGGTGAACCTATATAAAGAGCTTCCTAGGTTCTCTATTCTACATGTCACCAAATTTCCCTCTTTATTCCCACGCTAAGAACTACATGTTACAGAGATCCAACTGAGGAGTTAAATTTGGGTTCTTGACTTCTGTAACTGTTTGAACTTAAAGTCTATATTGACCTTCTGTGATCACTTGCCCAGGAAAACTGATAGCATCTTTGAATCAGAAGAGTAGACTGGAATACCTTCCCCAGCTGTCCAGGCTGTTAGTCTACCCCTTTGGTTATTGGATTTTGTTCATATTGCCTTCCAGCACAAAGCCCATCATAGTGCACTAATCTGTTCTGTGGACTGAGTTCCTGAAATGTTCCCTCCCAGTCTAGTGGCCGGCATGTGTGGTAGATGATCAGTAAATGATTGAATGGATTGAAGGGACTTATTGTTATCTAATTTAACTCTCATTTTTTATGAAGAGATTAAATAAACATTTTCACATTCCAGTAAAGATTTGCCCACTGCATTGTACTTACCTTTTAGTTGCTGTTAGAAACTTTGCAAGATGAGCTGAAGTTTTTTAATGAAACAGCCAAAAAGCAGATGGAAGAGTTACAGGTAAGAGGCAGACATCAGTCTGAGAAAAAAATTATAGTTTTCTACCACAGTATATACATTTATGAGGTATTCATTCTTTCTGCTTATTTTTAATCATTTTTATCCTGGAATTTTAAATGTATAGAAAATTTACAAAAATAACACAGAAACCATTCAAGATCAAGGGGTAACAATTGCTTAGGGACAAAGTTCAGAAAGGATGGGAAGGAGAGTGGAATGGAAATAAGAACCACAGGGAGGAAGTGGGATAACTGTTGTTACATGGAGGGAATTGTAGTCATTGAGATGAAACAAAGTGTATGGTTTGTTGAATGGGAAACTGATGAGCTGTTCTGTAAACCTTTACTCAATTCATAATAAAAAGTTTCCCAGAAAAACCCCACAGAGACTTAACTCTCCTAATGTAAACATCTTACATTATCATGGTATATTTGTCAAAACATAACCAACATTGGTGTGTTACCATTTACTAAATTCCAGATTTTATTTGGATTTACCAGTTTTTCCACTAATTTCCTTTTTCTGTTCTGGAGGACACTTTGTTAGAGATGTTCACATTTCCAGGATATGGGGCAATGTGTGACACACTGGGTTTCTCATAATTGAGCTTTGGGACCTATAGAAATCTGTGCTGTGGAAACTTAGTGCATATCTCAAGGAGGAACCCCATTATAAGAAACCCAGATTCATGGGTATGGACTACTTGGATAAATCATTGGATACTGTGCTGAATGCTGGAGGATTTCATTGCTCTGGGTTAGATTTAGGCGTCTATAGGATAGAGACACAATTCCCAACAATACAGATAAACATATCTGAGATAACAAATATAGTGTCTGTCAGTCTTCCAGTGGTCTTCCTCAATGGAACAGAAGCATAATGTTATAATGTGATATTACTGAGTATTGGCTTGGCTTGTTTTTTAGTTGGTTTTTCTTAATGTCTTTCCTTGCAGGCCTTAAAGGTAAAGTTGAAGACGAAAGAAGAAGAACGAATCCACTTCCTAGAACAGCAAAACACATGCAACAATCAAGTAAATGATTTCACAACTGTCCTTGAAGAGATGGAGCAGCTATTAGAAATGTGATAAAAAGGAAATGGCCAGATGGCTCCCTCTTGGGCATAAACTCTCTGGGAAAGCCACTTAGGACATGTGCTTCTTGGTCTTGATCTTCAAGGATTCACCATCCCCTAAATGCAAACAGCTTCTGCAGTAGGATTAAAGACAGGTATACTGGAATGGCGGTCCCTCCTTTAAGCAAGTGTTCTCAACAATCAAATTGGTCAGCTCCCCTGAGCCTCACACATAGATCATTGAGGCATACAAGAAGTGGGGACCTAGAGGCGTGGATCAATCTCCTACACAGCAAAGCAGCACAGTGTTAGAATTGGGAGGCTAAACCAACCACAGCCAAAGGATCTGAAAGATCATGTTGACATTTTCGGGAGGAAAACCATAATTGTACACGGGAGCACAGATATGCTCCACAGGAGATGACTGAGGAGCCATGCTGTCCCCTTGTAACCTGAGACACATTCTGCCCTATCCTGGCTGAACTTCTATACCTCATTGTAAAATTATGAACTTGAAGTTGCTGAAAATGGTTTGGCTTAATAAATGGGATGAAGGTACAGTAATAACACCTGAAACAATACACTTTAGAGCTTTAAATCAATCACTTTGGTGTTTCTTTTTAAAGGTACTGATTTAAAATAAATATTTCTGACTAACAATGAGGAATGCCAAAACATTTTAACTTTAATGTGCCCACTGAACACTATTGAACTAACCTAGTGAACAACTTCAAAGCTCTGGTTTAACACAGTGTTTTCTTGCACTCATGAAGTGCTCTGTGGCTAGTCCCCCTGTCTTCCAGGAGCCTTAGCTTGTCTTCTAAGGATGCTCCCTATTCATAGCAATAGATACCTGACTCCTTCACCAGGTCACTAGCTGCCTATGCTCTGTGCCCCTAAGCATGATTATGTAGCTGCTCTATGCTTTGTGCAACAGATTCCTTTAGTCAAACAAAGTCCATGACCCACTTGCTAACAAAGGCACAGCCGTATTTCATTCCTGGGTTTGACTTTGGCCATCACCCTTCTCTGCACCTCCCAGTTTCATCTACTTTATGGACTACCACCACTATTACCAGAGTCCTGATGTGGCACCGTGGGTTAATACGCTAGACTATAAGGTCAGTGGTTCAAGCTCATGAGCCGCTCCTCGGAAACCCTATACAGGGTCGCTATGATTCAACCGATTCGACGGCACACAACAACAACAAACTGCTATTACCACCACCATCCTTCAGCTTCATTATTTTCCACAGCTGCCCAGAGCCAGCTATCAAGCCAAGTAGCATCACCACCCTATCTCAAAAGACTAAAGTACTTTGTCCTCACACAACAAATATTTATTTATTGGTTATGTGTTGAGTATTTCAAAAGGAAACCTAGTTACATCTCACCAGTGTACTGAATATTTTCTCCTATTCATTTTCAGGATATTTACAGTTTAAAAGATTGTTTACCAAAAAGAATTTGTAATTGGCATCTCAGGCAGATGAAAGGAGTTTTACTTCTTAAGAGAATACGGTAGAAAACCTGAGCTCAGATTCTTACCCCTTGCCATGCCTCCCTAGTTGACACCCAGGAGTGTAACTATCTGAAATACCTATCATTATTCAACTTTACCAATGTAGAGAGACATGTTCTCTGTGGCCTCTTCTCATAAGTGTCTTCACCTGGGTTCTCCTTTGCATAACCAGCCAGCGTTGGCACATGCTCTTGATACTAATCTTGTTCCCCTTTGACCTCTGCTGCTCTGTGTGTCTGTTATATACAAGTAAATGTTCTGGGTACTTAGCTCATCTAGTGCCTGAATGAATTCATATATACCAGAAGTTAGTAAATAATTGATCTTCATCTTCTACTTTTTAAATAATGACCATAGGAAATTATAATGTAGCATGACATGTCTAACTGCAATGATGCTGAGAGTTTCATTTTGGAGAAACAAGTAGCAAAAGGCATTGCTTATCAGTGGGCTGCATGGTCTAGTTGAGTACCATAGTAGCTAACTTTGGACTAGTTCAGTTGGGACTTGAAAGAAGAATAACATTTGGAGAGGCTAAGAGCTAGAGGGGATACTATTCCAGTGAGACTGGGCACTGTTTAAGAACACTGGCTGGGCTTGTTTAAAGGTTTCAGAATGAGAAAGGATTCTACCACTTACTGAGCACCATCACATATCATACATGTGTGTTCACATACCATACATGTGTGAAGTATCTTATGTACGTTCTGCTGTGCTTCTCATTACAGCCATGTAAGTCTTGGCTCTTTTTAACCCATTGCTGTCATGGGGATTCCAGCTCATAGAGACCCTATCGGACAGAGTAGAATTGCTCCATGTTGTGGTTGTCAGGTGCCATCGAGTCGGAACCAACTCATAGCGACCCCATGCACAGCAGAACGAAACAATGTCCGATCCTGGGCCAACCTCACCATCGCTGCCACCTGGCCAATCCATCTCGTTAGAAGTCTTCCTCTTTTTCTCTGACCCTCCACCTTACCCAGCATGACATCCTTCTCCAACAATTGTTTCCTCCGGACAATATGTCCAAAGTAGGAGAGACGAAGCTTAGCCATCCTGGCCTCAAAGGAGCACTCTGGCTGCACTTCTTCCAAAACAGATCTATTGGTTCTTTTGGCAGTCCATGGCACTTTCAGTATTCTCCTCCAACACCACAACTCAAAGGCATCAATTCTTCTACGATCTTCCTTATTCACTGTCCAGCTTTCGCATCCATATGAGACTATTGAAAACACAATGGCCTGGGTCAGGTGCACCTTAGTCCTCAAGCTGACATCTCTGCCCTTCAATACTTTAAAAAGTTCCTGTGCAGCAGATTTGCCCAGTGCAATACGTCGTCTGATCTCTTGATTGCTGCTTCCGTGAGTGTTGATAGTTGATTCAAGAAGAATGAAGTCCTTGAGAACTTCAATCTTTTCTCCATTGATAAGAATGTTGTTTATTGGTCCAGTGGTGAGGATTTTTGTTTTCTTGACATTGAGATGTAATCCATATCGAAGGCTGTGCTCTTTGATCTTCATAAGTAAATGTTTCAAGTCCTCTTCACTTTCAGTAAGCAAGATTGTATCATCTGCATATCACAGGTTGTTAATGAATCTTCCTCCAATCCTAATGCCACGTTTTTCTTCATAGAACCCAGCTTCTCGTATTATTTGATCAGCATACAGGTTGAATAAGAATTGCTCCATAGGGCTTTTTTTTTTTTTTTTTAATTCTGTTGAGAATTTATACTGTAAAACACCAAGTTTCTACATGTAAAATTCAGTGATAACAATGGCATTCTTCAAGATGTGCAACTATTCTCACACTTCTTTTCTGAATTGTTCCTCCACTATTAACATAAATTCATTGCTGCCTGGGATTCCATTTGAGTTGCTGTTGTTAATTTGATCCCATATACTCTTAAAAAGAGCAGAATGCTCAAGGCAGACTTATTTTTTTGCTCGTAACTCCAATTACTATTTTGTTTTAAGATTTAAGGGAATATTTTTGGTTTCAGGTTTAAAGATCATCTTAGGACAATAGTTTCAGGGGTTCATCTAACCTTCATGGCTCCAGAAAGTCTGGAGTTCATAATTATTCAAAATTCTGTTTTCATTTTCTTTTTTTTTAGTTGCTGTTATTGAATTGTCCTTGTTCTGTTTGCCCTCTACTCGATTCCAACTCAAAGCACTACTATATAAAACAGTAGAACTGCCTCATATGATTTCCTAAGTAAACTTTTTTTTTTTCAACCACATAGGGATATATAATTATTTAAATAACCAAGGGGCACACTCTGGAAGCCTGCCTCCTGGCCTCCATCACACAGCCTTTCTCTTTCCATGAGTCTAGAGCCCTCAGCTGCTTAGTCTCTCCATGCCCTCATCTCTGCCTCCATCTCTGGTGTTGCCCATTCTCTGGTTAGGGTCCCACATTCAGCTCATACTCCTCTCAATGGTTCTATGGTCGTCTATTCCTGGACTGTAAGATTAACTATCTCATTCCACACCCCCTTATTGTTACACATCTTCTAGCTTTACAGTTGTGATCATTGCAATTAGGCATAACAATTACTACTGAATCAAATGAATCCTATCCCCATCTCCTTCCACCAGATCCATCTAGACAAGAGGAAAACTACAGTGGGGATTCTACCTTCCCCTGCACACTCAAAACTAAACTGCCTCTTGAAAATTTATAAGCCAGCCACTTCATGCCTTCCCATTTGAGGTAGCCAATGTTTAAGTTGCCTGTCCCTATCAACCCTGTGTACAGAGGGGATAGGTTTGATACCTGATGTGGAGACTCCCTCCCTGTCAGTTGGTATTTTGAGCTACTACATCCATAAGTATAGATCAAGTTCAACAAATTGCAGCAATTTATACTTGGTCCCTTTATCAAATTTCTTAATCTTCCTCTAGTTGAGTTCTGGTCATCAAACCATCAAAGCTAGGTTGAATGGGTACTATCTTCAAGTTTGGGTGTTCTTGTGCCTCTCTCCTTCCTTCAATCAGCTGGATGCTTCACTGTCAGCTCTATCCCTCGGTGGCTATGTCCTTGTCCATGGGCTCAGGAGTCCCCAAGTTTCACTACACTTCGGACCAAGTAGCACTTCCTCTTCTCTCTCTCACATCAAGGTTGACGGGAATGTATGGACCATGGTCAAACTCAGCCCATAATTTCATTTCTGCCTTTCCCCCATTTCCGCTCACAAGTAGAACAACGTGGTGTGGTGGCCAGCAGGCTTACATGCCTGCTCATGTATTCCCTTTGAGTTTCAGTCTTAGAGGGGGTTTGTCCTGAAGGGACTTAATTGCTTGCCTTGATGACTCCCTGGCAAACAACTTGGTTGTTCTTGTAGTAGCCATTCAAACTGCCATTTCTGTTTTTTGGATTTTTCCTGGTCTTTCTTTCAAGAAGTATTTTTTGTTCCTCTAGCCACTCCAGGCTGATATGTTTGCATTTTCTTTTGACCCAGATTCTTCTGTAGAATCTTTGATGAAAATATT